TTTCTTATATGCATTTATATTATATATATATATATATATATATTAATTATATCGGGTTGAGTTTGGATAGGGGAGGTGATTCTCGCCCCGCCCCATCCCCGTTGCAGGTGATCAAAATATAATCCACTCCTGCCCCCACATAAGTGTCAAGTCGGATAAAATCTATCACATTTGAATGAGTGATTATTCAATACTCTCGGAATATGGACACGTGGTGCTCCATAAGGTTTTGATAGATAGAGAGGGGTAAGGGTCCACAATTTATGTTAGGGATGGAGAATAAAATGGAGCTTAGTAATTGGTGATTGGCTTAGAATATGAACACGTGGTGTTCTGGAATATTGAATAATTTTTCCATTTGGACAGGTATGAACGAGCTGCGAGGATCGGACTAAAATAGTCATCTCTAATCTGAGGGATGGCTAGCAAAGTGGAAAGTAATATCGTCAAAAACATTTTATGCCAAGGAAGTTGGTTTCTACAAGTGGTCGACGTTGTTGATTTCTCAGAATTGAAGATCGAAGTCTTCGTCATCTTCTTCAGAAAACTTACACAAATCTGAGTCATTGATAACCATTGCAAGAACATCTCAACATGAAAGAGGAATTGACAAATGCAAAGAGGAGATCTTGAGATGCTTTGAATGGATTTCGAGTTTAAAGATCAACTTTCAAGAAAGTTGGTTATGCGGAGTTGGATTATCAGAATTATTCATGAAAAAGGCAGTTCAATGAACCATCTCTTATATCTTGGAACGCTTTTGGGAGAAGGCTTAAAAACCGGGCTACCAATTGTTGAGAAAGGTAGAATTACTTCAATTAAATCAAAATTATTGGACTTGCCCATATATTACATGTCTTGATTCAGAATTCCTGCAAGTATGACAAAGGCGCTTGAGAAAATTTGAAAAATGTTTTTTGAAGGGTGACAATGAAGATGAAGGAAATTACATCATTTGAAGATGGAGCACTGTAACTACAAAAAATAAAAAATCAAAAATAAATTATTGGTGGAGGTTTGGAGTGGAAAGAAATTATGTGTGGAAAGGTATAGGATTACCCAGATGGCTGTTTGGTTTCATGACTGTTCAGATCAGTAAAAATTGTCAAAGGTATGGAAAGCCAATTCTCTCCTTAGATTGCCTCATTTTCGAAATTTTGGAATGTCTTGTTGGGAGGGTTATCAATTACGGTTGGCTGTGGTTCTTCGACAAAGCTTCGGGATGATGTTTGGTAGATGGAAAAACTCATTAGGAGGTATTTCTGAGGTTCTTCTGCCTTGTGGATATATAGATCAAAATTATGGTGAGTGATTTTTCCTAAAATGACTATGCAGTGATTTTTTTGGATGGCTAGATTTAATTCTAAAGAAGTTGTGGTACAATAATCATTTCAGTTTTCAGCTCCCAAACCTCAACCTTACCCAAAAAAAAAAAAAAAAAATTCATCATTCTAGGGGAGCCGGACTCAATCATGGAATCTTTGGCCTATTAGGAGCCACTAAGTAACTTGGAAGGAATTTACTATCAAATCCTTATGAGGGAGAGCTTAATGGAAGCAAAGCTGTGAGTAGGAGTCTCATTTGGAAGAACATTAGTCTATATCTGGTGTGGATAGAATTACAAACAAGTTGAGTTGATACCAAGTGGTAGGCTGTTAAGTTTGGCTTGAAAACTTAACGAGTTTCCAAACGTGCAACTTATTTACATAACTACTTTTAAAATGTGTTGATACTTGACTTGTTTACATTACAAACTGGTCTAGAATGAGATTTTAACAAGTTGAACTCGGGAAAATTAAATGGTCCGTTCTTGTTTCCTCAGAAGGTCTTGTGCTATACTGGTTTGAAAAATTGAAAGTTAGAGAAAATTATTTTGGAGGCAATCTTCTATGCAACATTATGGACTTCAGAGAAAACTAGGAATGACAAAGCATTTATGTGGTAGCATTTGGGTAAAAGGCTTACAATCGTTCAGTGAATGACATAAAATGGTTACTGTCCTTTTCAAGATGTGTCAAAAATATGTCCTTCATAATTTTTAAAATCTATCTAAAGCTTAATAAAAAATAAAAAATAAAATCCTCTTTATCCCATGACCCCCCATGAATAAAAAATAAAAAAAAAAATCATCTAAAGAGCCAACAAAGTAAACTCATTTTACATGAGCCTTGTTTAGAGTGAAATTTTGATTTTTGGTTTCTTTTTCATAATGTACAATTTGTTTCAATTTTAAAATTTTTTACATCGATACAATTTGAACCAACCAAAATATTATATTTAAATTCTTTAAACATTAGAAGATAAGTTACTACTACAATACTATTTTTGTGATAAAAACTGGAGAATGAAACATTTATAGAGCAACTTTCATACTTTTTTCTTTATTTATTTGAAATTTTACATGTTTTTATAAAACATCTTAAAATTTCATTCATGTCCCTCATTTGCACCAAACCTACAAACCGAATTGTAGCCAATAATCAATATTCAGATAAGGTTTAGCACCGAGCCAAACGGTACTGTTTACACCATTCGCCTCAATAACAAAATATTAATAAAACATTTCCTCTCCCAAAGGCCTAAAAAAAATATCTTCTTTAAACGCTCTCCAATGGCAAACACATAAATTTTCATCTCAAGTTTCTTAAGTGGAGAAATGTGATCGCACTTCACCTATTCTTTAACAGGATATCTAAGTTGTCATATTATTCCTCATGCATTTCCTTTTAATAGAGGGGAAATATAAAAAAAGTGAGAAGTTGAAAAAATAATTATAAATTCATGAAACTACAAAGAATTTATGCATTAGATTGTGCAAATGAGTGTTGTACTTTTATGAATTTGTAATTATTTTTTATACTTTTTATTTTTATTTTTATTTTGATTTCGATATTCTTCCTTTAATATATAACAATTTTATATTGATTGACATTTCTTGCATTTCCTACATAATTTTGCATGTATTAGCAACATTTTCAAAACTTTGTCACTAAAGGTTATTTTGTTTTTTGTTTTTATATTTATTTTTGGGATGATGTTTTACTCACGACTCTTATGATGACAAAAATTGGTTCCCCAATATTTTTTGCAATAAAATTTTATTTTTGAATCAGGTCTTATATATTTTTTTTTTGATCAGCAAAATAAGTTTTATTGATGAAGAAAACATACAAAGTATGATAACGTACATCAATAATGAGAAGGGTGCAAAGAGCATCAAAGTGAAACATCAAGATCCCAACTAGGTTGACACCTAGATGTACACCAAATCATTTGCTAGCACTAACTCCAAGCTCCAAGTTGGTGAGTAACCAACATACAGAGCAGAAACAAAACAAGTAAAACACTCGCAGTAACAAAACAAAACAAAACTGGAGCATCCAAAAATCAGACCATCACAGACAGCAGCAAGCTCCACAGCACAGACCGAAACATCACCCAAAAACAGACCAGCTCCACAGCAGCATTAGCATTAGCAACAACACACTTTCATCGCAAATAAGTCAATCTATTAAGTTACAACATGAGCACCAGAGCACTAGGAGAGAATGAACCACACAGCCAACAAACACCAGGGTAGAATGAACACAGCAGACCACAGCAACCAGCAGGCATATAGACCAATAACCCATTCATAGAGAGCATATAGAGCATCATACAGACCAGCAACAATCACCAACACACCTTCAACAAACACCAAGACTATGCATCCTCAAACTGTATGCCACACTCCATAACTGAAGCAGCTGTTAGGATGACTCCCAACTAAACACAATAGCCTACCCACAACCAACATAGCATACCAAGCATAGTAGGACTAGAGCTTCAAATAACAATCTAGATACCCATCTGCACTGCCAATCAAAGCAGATTCAGCCCAGATACAGGACACAAACAGAACAAATTCAGCCCAAGACACACTAGAGAGCACCACAGTGACAGAGTCCTTTGGCACCAGATCAGCCCAGATCAGCCCCAGAATGCAGAATCAGAAAAACACATATTCTGGAACTTGGGCTGCAAAATAGCCTAGAGACACGTACTCAAGCCTCTTTAACAGCTTCAGAACCAGCATGAATTGAGAGCACAGATGCAGTACAGATCAGTCCAACAATCAGATCAGCTGCAGGACACACTTGAGAGCAGCATATGATCAAATCTCTTTAATTAACTCTTTGATTAGTCGATGGAACTTGGGCTGCAAAATGCACCAGATGCAGTACTGATGGAACTTAGGCTGTAGAATACTCAGTTGTGCAAAGTTGGGTGAGTGCACACCATACAGCAGCAAGGCAAAAACACAAAAGCCCCAGGAAAATCAAAACCAAACCAAATCAACCCCTCAGACATAATCTAACCTGCTTGAGATTATACACAATATCATTAATTGAGTAAGCAAAAGATGGGTTAGAAGTTCTGACCCATAAAGCAACCCTGAGCTTAATAGAATCACATAGCCCTTCAAAATTCACCGGCGAGCCCTTAAAAATGCTTTCATTCCTCTGCTTCCAAATAGACCAAAACACCGCCAATGGTATAGCTTTCCAGATGGGTAACTCTTTTTTTTTATAGTTTTAAACCAATCCACCATTGCAATAATCCAGACACGGATCCAGGCATTGCCCAATACATACCCCACCAATTGATAATATTTGACCAAATCCTCCAAATAAATGGGCAAGACAGCAGCACATGATTTATATCTTCTATTTCATCCCTGCAGAAAATACAGTTAATGTCTGAAGCAGCAGTAAGGACACCTAGTCTTTGAAGATAGCTGGCTGTCTTTATTCTCTCTTTCCATGCTAACCACCCAAAGAACTGCACCTTAGGTGGAGCCAAATTCTTCCATATACACCCTACTAAGTTACTACTAGCTTCAACAGATGCTGCATTCCACTTATAGGCAGAAGTCACAGTAAAAACCCCAGAATTTTCTACATTCCATTTCAACTTGCCCACCATCCCATCCCGAATAGCTGGAGCATTAAGAAGCATTATTCTCAGTCTCCTCAAATCTTCTATTTCCCATTGAAACAAGGCTCTCCTGAAAACCAGCTTCCACTCTTCATTTCCATTTCTCCTACTGCATTAAGAATCAGCTCTTATATGTTAGCATCTAAGAGTCCGACACTAATCATCTATTTACCTAAAATATGTTGAAAATTTTAATTTTATTTACGGGGCCAAGAAAAATTTAATAAAATAATTTATACAAAAATATAATTAAAAAATAAAAGCAAACTTTAATATTTACATTAAATTATGAATATGATAGGGAAAAAACCAGCAAAAATTATTTAATAAATTCATATATCAAGTGTACAATCATGTTAATATGTATCTGGACATATAACAAATTTAAAAAACATATATATATATATATATATATATATATAAAACAAATCTGAGTAAGATAGAGAAAATCAATGCCTAATATGTCTCTTGGCTTAAGTGTTTATATATATATAAACTAAATTAGAAAAAGGAAAAATATCAACAAATAGACAAGTTTTAATTTGATGTTATTTAAGAAATGTTGGCAGATTGTTAAGGGGGATGTGATTCAATTCATGAAAGATTTCCACAAAAACTCTAAGTTGGGTCATGGAATTAATAGTTCCTTTGTTGCTTTGATTCCAAAATCTGATAATCCTTCTTGTCTGAATGATTATTGGCCTATTAGCCTCCTAAGCTCTTTGTATAAAATTCTTGCAAAGGTCATGTCTAATAGGATCAAGAATGTAATGCCAAAGATCATTAGTGATTCTCAATCAGCCTTCATTGGAGGTAGAAGTATTTTGGATGGTGTGTTGATTGCAAATGAAATAGTTGACGGTTGGAAGAAGAAGCATAAGAAAGGCATTGTATTAAAACTTGACTTTGAGAAAGCCTATGATTCAATTAACTGAGAGTTCCTCTACTCTATGCTCGCAAATTTTGGGTTTGGCGCCAAATGGATCAGTTGGATGAGAGAGTATGTACTTTCAGCCAAAGTTTCTGTATTAGTCAATGGATCACCAACATCTGAGTTCACTCCTCAAAGGGGTCTTAGGCAAGGTGATCCATTATCACTATTTCTTTTCAATGTCGCAGCTGAAGATTTGAATATCCTTTTGGGTAGAGCTCTACAACTGGGATTGATTAGAGGGGCTGTTGTTGGCTCAAACGATCTTGTGATCACCCATCTTCAATTTGCAGATGATATAATATTATTTTGTGAGGCAAAATGGAAGGAGATTGGGAATGTTAAGAGGATTCTAAGATGTTTTGAAATGCTTTTAGGACTGAAAATTAATTACCATAAGAGTGTGGTGTGTGGGATTGGCATTAGTGAGGACCTCACTAAAGGATTTCCTGACAAACTAAACTGCTTGCATCAAAATCTACCTTTAAAATACTTGGGGATGTCATTGGGGGATTGTCCAAGGAGAAGAAGGTTCTGGCAACCTGTGATTAATAAGTGCAAACAAAAGCTAGCTTCTTGGAAGAGGATATTCTTATCCTTTGCAGGGAGATTAACACTGATAAAGTCAGTGCTGTTTAGTTTACCAATCTACTTCTTATCTTTGTTCAGGATGCCAGAAGGGGTTACAAAAGAAATTGACAGAGTTCAGTCTAGATTCTTATGGAGAGGTGATGAACTTAGAAGAAAGATTCATTTGATAAAGTGGGAGGAGATTTCAAAAAGCAAAAGTCAAGGGGGATTAGGAGTTAAAAGGATCAGGCTTATGAATGATTGCCTCCTCTTAAAATGGTGGTGGAGGTTTGGGGCTGAAGAAAAAACACTATAGAAGCAAGTGATATGCAACAAGTATAATGAGGTTGGGAGGGGATGATGGCATGAACCTGTGGAACATCTCAGGTGCTCTTTGATATGGAA